TTCGAACATAATAACGTTTCGATTGCAATTGTTACTATCTTTAGGTATCAATCTGCTAACACATCTTTTCATTTCCTTCTTAAGCAGGGTAAAAGTAGATACGAATAATCATCTTATCCATAAATCATTTTTCAGTTATCATATGACCATAATCCCACATGTTGAATTCTCATTACCTTAGTGAGAGCCCTCTCCTATCATTGTTCTCCTCCCCCACCCTCAACTACCCTTGCCTTCCTCATTGGTTGTGAATCTAAGATATATCATAGGTGAAAACAAATAATGATTTCCCTTTCCTCTTTTCTATGTTTCTTTCATTCGGAGCCTTGCTCTCTGAACATATTATAAAGTTTCGTTGCATTTGTTACTATCTTTATGTATCCATCCGCTAACACTTCTTTTCATTTCCGTCTTAAGGAGGATAACAATTAGATACGAATAATCATCTTGTCCAGAAATCATTTTCAAGTATCTTATGACCATAATCCCACATGTTGAATTCTAATTACCTTAGTGAGAGCTAGCCTTCTATCATTGTGCTCCTCCTCCCTCAGCTACCCTTTCCTTCCTCATTGGTTGTGAATCTAAGATATCCAAAGGCAAAACAACAATGGTTTCCCCTCTCCTCTTTTCTCTGTTCCCTTTTGCTCCCCACCCAATTGATAAAGAGGCAATACACCAATAATTCGATGCCACATGAGTGGGTTTGCAAATGGAAAGAATTCTAATTGCAATCATTCTTTTGAATCCTTACATCTTAGCTAGAGATTGGATGTGTTGAATTGACCGGTGAGCTAGCGGTGGCCAAATGGCCGGTTGTTAATGGGAGCATGTTCCATCTCCAAATGCTTTTATGTTTGCTAGCTACGTACTCAATTGCTTTCTTCTGTTATAGCAAATTGATGGGTGTTCCTGTTTTTCTTTTGTGCATGTTTGTGATTTTTCCACTTTAAGCTACTAAAGTTGCAATCATGGACTCGTCTCTTTGCATTACACATTATCCACCAAAAGTAAGCAAGCAAGCAGAAATGTTTCTCCATATATAAGGCTCTTCTTGTTGGAAAAAGAATATGTGTAGCGTATGGATCCCGTTCAGTAACATTTTGTTGTTGTTGTGGTTGCAGTTGGCAAGAGATGCTAGGCACCAAATGGTACAAGTGCAATTAGACTCTCGATGTGCATTCGTTGCTCTAGAGAGTACATACTATAGCAATCATCAGCATACAACTATCACTGAGAAGTTGCACTAGTTAATCACAGGGGTTGGCGAGACTATATCGCACATTTACAAAGGGACAACCAGTGTGCAGAATATCCAACTGGTGTAGGACATATGCTTTCTTTTAGGCTTACATTGTATTCGGTCTTTAGGTCCTATACTCTGACACTGGATTTTGTATGGTTGTTCACGACTCTGAAAAGTTCGATTAGTAATTTTAAGTAAACAATATAACATTCACAATGAAATTTCTCCCAACAACTCAAGTTATTAGGACCAACTGGTTATTGATATGATATTGGAAATGTGATGACCAAGAGATCTTCAGTTCAAATCTCCAGGACATCTTATATTGAAAGTTCTTTTAAACACAAGGTACAAACGATTTGTGCAAACTTCAAACTCTTAATTGGCTTTCGTATGAGTGGTAATTTAGGGAATATGATATAATATTTGTTTTGGAACTTCTTTCAAGAAGTCAAGTAACTAGAACCAACTGTTTCTTGACGGAATGAAGATGTCTCAACTTATTTTAAGTTTTTTTTTTTTTTTTGGTAATATAAAATCTCAAGATATGAAATTTTCTTTTTTTTAGGAAAATAATTCATAAATTAAATTCCTTTTGTTCCTAGACCTTGAACATGCTAACTTTAGCAAAAGCGAGAGGAGTTGGGTTCATTTTGTTTTCTACTCTATTCTTCATCCCTAATCCCTATTGATTTTACTTAGAAACCCTAGTTTGACAACCACATTATGATGAAATCTCTTTACATATGGCCCAAGACCATTCGTTATGCGCCAAATGTAATCTTGGCTCAGCTTTCTTGAGTCATCAATCTTGTATATCCACTATACATTTAATCAATCAAGAATCTTGCTTTCACTTGGAGTCATTAGTTAAAGGCAAAATAAACTTGTATAGCCAAAACTTTAGCGTTTGTGCCAATAATAGCCAAATTTGGCGAAATACCACTTATAGCCACTTCCGTCCAATTCTTTAACGCTGTTAACGTTAAGTGTGACTGGGCAAACGGAGACGCTTACGTGGCGAGCTCTTATTTCCCTTTTCCTCTCTAATTGTCCATGTGGATAATAATTAATTAAAAATTAACGCAACAAAAAACAAGAGCCCCTCATTTAACCCACCCACATTTTCCTCTATCCTATCCTCTTCTTCGAACACCCACCCTTTCTGGGAAAGACGCAGTCAACGAACCCCCTGATATTCCTTCATCCACCATCGATCTACCCCCTCTTCCTGTCCCGATTCTCCTCCATTACTCTCTTCTGTATGAGCTCATCTTCATCGGAAGCTAGCTCATGGCCATTCGAACCAACCATTCCTGGCGACACTGAGCTTCGCGCCCCAACCATTCATGATTGTACAGAGTCGCCGGCGCGGGTTGGTCTCTGCAACTTCAAGCTCGTGGTTGACGCCGGCGGTGAGAATGGAAGCGCGACAGTGGAGCCAGATCTGAGCGTGACGGTGAATGGATTGCAGATGCCTAATTCGTTCGTGATCGGGTCCAGTCCCCCTCCCCTCGGGACCAACTACACTGTGATGAAGCGTGCGTTTGATGAAGGTGGGGGGTGCTGTGATTGTCAAGCGTGCGTTACTCGATCGACGATTTGGTTTCACTCGATCGGTGCTCGACTCTTCTGAGAATTTGATTTAGGCTGCCTACCTGATAAGTCTGAGAATTAAGATCCGTTTGAGAACTATTCGTGGGGAATAGAAAATGTGGGGAAGAAGTAAGAACCCTAATTTCAAAATTGGTGAAAGGTTGGGGATGCAGCGTGATTCGTGCTAAGCAAATGGATAATAAATGGGTAATTTTTTTAATTATGATATGTAAATAATAAATAATTAAAAATGTATGATGTGTCATTATTTGCTTATTTGGCGCTGACGTGTCTGTTGAGTTGGCGCCTAGTCAGCAAACCGTCAAATAAGTTGACGGTGTTATTAACACTGTTAAAGTTTCTAACGGGAATGGCTATATTTGTCCTACAAAAGTTTAAAAGGTGGCTATAAGTGGTATTTCGCCAAATTTGGCTATTATTGACACAAACGTAAAAGTTTTGGCTATACAAGTGTATTTAGCCTTAGTTAAAAGCCCCATTCTTTTATATGGTTTAATGAGTAGTACTGACCACTTTTCATTGGCTTGATACGATATCACTCTTCTTTTTCCAAACCAAAAGACGACATCATGATGTTCAAAGCAAAGATAAGTGATTTAAGTAACTTATCATCTTGGCATCAACACATTAATATTTGCTTTATCATTGTCTTTTGATGGCAAAAGAAACCCCCTTTAGTTATAAAAAAAAACCCCATAAAATATCACTTTCATAAAAGATTCATTACCTATGTTTCTATATCAAGAATAGCTGAGCTCTTTGCTTTCTTAAGGGACAAGAAAGAAAACTCGGCTTGATTTTCACTATGAATTCTGTCTCGTCAAGCTCTAAAGTTACCTTACCATTTCTCCCAAAAAAGAGAGAGTTTGAGACTAATCCAATAAGAGAGATAGAGACGTGGGATTTCTTCGAGTAAAAATTATCATTTGACACATTTGGTCCTTTTTTCTCTAAAATATGTCATGAAGGCGGTAACCAAAACAACCAAATACAAGACCGAATCTATCGACACATGATAGTACGTAAGTAATCGGACTACTGATGAAAGAGTCTTTTCTTGCACTTCCATAAGGTTAATAACAAGTTTGAAAATCACTAAGGCCTTCTAAACTTGGAAGAAAGACATGGGATTTCTTCGAATCACAAAATTTTTCGTCTAGTGTGTAAAGATTATCATTTGAAGCATCTGGTCCATTTTTTCTCTAAAATATGTCAAGAATGCGCCAATGCGGTAACCCAGGAAATCAAAATACAAGATCGAATCTAACGACACACGATAGTCTGTAAGTAATCGGACTGTCAGTGAAAGAGCCTTTTATGATCCTTCGATAAGGTTAATTAGGAGTTTGAAAATCACTAAGGCTTTCTCAACTTGGAAGAGTTTACAGTGAGAGAGGGAGTGGTTGCCACTTTTGAGAGAGAATATATCATGTCTTAAGGGGTAATTCTGGCTCCAGAAGGATGTGCTTCAAGCCTAGTCCTTAAATCTGAAAATGGTACTACTCAGTTTGCTATCAGGTTTCAACATTATGGTATTATTAACTTCTATCTTGTCGAATAGCAGATGCTCGAAAACATATGTTCCCGATTTGAAACTTTGTACTCATTGGTGTGACTCTTGAACAAGAATTTCGATTTCGAAGTAGTGTTTCTTCAGCTTGATTATGAATTGGATTCAGATGTGGTTGGAGGTCCAGTATTACGAGATTGTGTTTAGATGATGACATGTCTAAACTTTAATATATGTTTCGAGTTCTTCGTTATCCTAAGAAGTGTCAACTTAACTAGTTGCACGAAAACCCATTTCTCTATTTAGTTTAAGTGTTGTTCGCATTTTATTTTGTCTGTCTAACTATGGTTTTCTCATAAGTCATAACATTTGATTTACGGAAATACAATTGGCTCTCTGGAGTTGACGTATCAAAGCAACCTTAAATCGTCAGGTTTTCATTAAAAAAAAAAAAGCGACCTTAAATCTGTTGGATGAATAAGAAATGGTCTTGCAGTTTATGGCCTGCCTACCTCTGGGCCTCACTAACCAGCCAAATTTGGGCCGGGAACGAGAAGAATTAGCTCAATAAGGCCCATTGCTCAGTTCCATTTCTGGCGGGAAAATTACTAATTGTCACCCAATGCCCACTGCCAACTCCTGCTCTCCTCTCCGGCGGGATTATCCGACCAGCGATGGCGACGTTAGAAGAAATTACCCAACTCATCTCCGGGTTGGCCCTGCAGCTGAAAGCCCAGCCGCCGACTGAGGAATGTGAACAAAGTTCTTCTCTTGACTTGTCTATTGCGAAGCTCACTCAGTCCCTCAACCTCCACGACGACGACGGCGCTTCAACGTCTAGGGTTTTGGACACCGCTCTGTCACTTATGTGCTTCAAGGCACCGCAGGTATCTCGTCCCTCTACCCAGTTTGATGAATTTGAATTTCCCTCTTCTTGGGTGGATTGCGCTCGCGATTCGGTAAATTTTGTTTGCGTTTCTAGGTGTTCGATTCTGTTCTCGAGTATACTGTGAAGACGATTGCCAGCGTGTTGTCTTCGTCGGTAGGCTGTAAGGTCTTTCGGCTAGGGAAAGAAGATGTTCTTCGTGTAGGGAGCTCGATTTCTCGTCGTGATTGCTTTGATCTGATTGATGTCGTTGGTGGTGATACCCTGTCAGACTTGGAGGAGCGCGGTGAGTTGTCATTTCTTGTTGTAGGTTATGGCCATTTATGTTGTTTGATTAGAAAGGAGAAGTATTTTGATCATAATTACCAGTTTGTTGCTGGGGAAACCGTCGTGCGTTCAATTTTGAGACCAATCAATCTTTTTTTAGTTCAAAACAATGGGTTGGGTTTCTTATGGTCTCTGAACCCTTGGGGTGGTGATTGTGATAGTGTAGGTGTGCCTTCTCGTTTGCTATTACATGCTCTCCTTAGAGCTGCTGTGTCCGCACCAAGCTGTAGATATTTGGACCCATCAATGGTGGTTTTGGATGCTGACTTGAGTGCCAGAAGAAGCATTGCTGCCTCGAAGCTAGTCTCACACTTGCCTGTAGAATTGTCTTCTGTGAAGGATAAAGTACCACTAAGGTCTGCCGTCAGTACTGCTGCTCAAAATCTAGCTCTATGAACCGCACATGTCTAGTAATCTTTGCTTGGATCTTCATTTAACTGCTATGTTTTTATCGAGTTTTTGGTGGTTATGGATGGCTGTGTTGCTGGGACATGACTCCCCCCAAAAATAACTGATGCAGTGCTGTAATTGTTCGACTAATGATCTTGCGTCCCTCGTTACTTCCTTTGACAGGTTGTTGCTCTGGTTTCTTGATCCACTGATCTTAAAGCGTGATATTTCGGAGATGTTGCAAGAAACTATGAATAGGCCTTTCCTTTCTTTACCCAAGGAACTTCATGAAAGGAAGGATTGGCACTCTATTCTTATATGCTTGGTACTTTCTCCTGCTATGTTCACTGCTACCAGAGCTTTATTGCATGATTGGTTCCTGCTTACGTGAGTTCAGCCTCTTTTGATTCAGTCGATTCTCTAATTACAGATGTGTGGTTTCCTCTTAAGAATTGTAGTTCCCTCTTTCTGATTACTAAAGTTCCTCAATGAATGAAGAACATTCCCCCTCTAGTGCCTACAAGAATGGCCCGCTTCTAACCTGTAGCTTCCCATGCATGAATTCAAATGTTTGGATATTCATCTCATTTTTGCTGTGAAACTATTCCTGCGTATTAGTAATGGAAACTTAATTCATTACAACACATGACAGGGGCCTGAGATCTATACTGCAACTTCTGATTGATTTAGTTTCGGTAGTCTTGGACGTAATATCCATACCAACAAGGTGGGGCATATCAATGGAATTGGGATCAAAGCTTCCATTTTCGAGTGCATATTATCCTTACAACAATGTTTGGCTTAGGTCTTTAGCCGGACCAATCTCTAGTGAAGGTCTCCTGCAAATAGTTAACTGGATCATTGACTTCAAACAGCCAGGTCCATCAATCAACCCATCTGCAGCTAAAGTTGCATTTTTAGATCACAAATCTCTGTGGTAATTTCTCCTCTCTTTTGAAATTGGAAAAATGAAGATGGCAACAGTTGTTATCCTGGGAAAGAACTAATATGTCATTCATATTTACCTGCAGGTCCCTGGCTATTAGCTTCCCAAGTTGGTTCTATTTTGCCTCTGTTCTAGTATTTGCTGACAAAAGTTTCAAAGAGGTGTTATATTTAGAAGGAACAGTAGGCGAAAATGCAGCTGTTAGATACCTTGCATGGATTTTGAACCCTTTTGATAAAACTCGTCAAGATCTACTCTCTGGTAATCTAATCAAGTTAGCACGGCATTGGACTTCGAAACAAGTTGTCTCCAGTGTGCAGGAGACACGTACACTCGGGTTAAAGAGGAGACTTAAGAAACCCAAAGTCGATGACATAAGCAAGGAGGGGTTCACTTTTGGGAATCAGCATGGTTGTCAAGCAATCAGCCTTTGGCTCCAGGAGTACCAGAATACAGCCTATGAATGTGATTTTGACCCACAAGTCAGCATGTTTTTCAGGTGGATACCATTAGGCATCTTTACTGGCTGGTGTTCAAGTGACATAAATGAAAGTGGATGTGAGTTTCTCTTACACTATGCAGCCACTGGTACCATGTTACATTCAGTTCGACGGAATGAAGGGTTCGCTATGAAGGATGCTATTGCTGGGGCGAGTCTCGTCTTCAACTTGACTGATATTGTTGACAGGATGTCTGAATCACTGTTTGAGACTGTATGTATTGCAGACAGTTATATTTGCAAGGTGAAATCAAGAACTGCGAGATACTTGATAAAGTGTGTGCAGAGATTAACCCAGCCTGACGCCAGCGAAGTTGCTGGAGTTCAAACGCTGTTGGATCTTGTTAGCAGACTGGAGAAGTGGAGAACCCAAGGTCAAGAAGTAGCACTTATTGAGGCAGAACTGGAGAATGCCATACATGTCCTCAAGTCTAAATTTTCTTCTACTTGAAGCACATATTGTGAAGTCTTTTGGAAACCATCTTTTTCTGGATCGCGCAGCCGTCTCAGTATGTACAGTAGGAGAGATAATTGAACATAGAAGCTGGTGTTTATTAACTTCATTAATTTTTATTCATATGAAGGAGTAGCGGAATGGGTAAATTCCCTTTACAAGCTTGGAGAGATTTCAAAAGAAGACTGAAATGAAACCCAGGCAACCTAAATGCTTGCTTGAAATGAATAGCTTTTCAGAGGACTAATATAATATCAATCACAGCAGATCATCCTAACTACCTTATGGTGTAAAGAAAATCATGCAGGTATTTCCTGTACAATATCCCAGCACCGCACAATTTTGGCTCCTTGAGGCCTTCGGCCACTAACCATAACTGTGAGTGCAGCTTATGCTTCATACTTATCTTCAGTTCAGCCTCTCTTCACCATAGAAATCCCTGTCGGATCTCCTCCCCATTCTTCAAACACAACCATCAAGTTACCGCCTGCTTTCAGCCATGAACGCGGAACATGGTACCTGCAGTACACAAAATGTAAAATATGTAAAAGGCTAAAAGCACGGACAGTGAAAATGAGTTTAAAAAAGAGCAGTGCAAGTTTCTCTCCCTTTACCATCTTTGTGAAGGCTGTCCACAATTGGAGAGACATTTTTTCTCAGAGAAGTAACCACCGTAATAGCAGGTGCCGCAGTTGCCTTCTGCTTTATATGCAGGCCAGTATCGTCCTATGCTCTGCCCATTGATCCATACCTGGCCTTTCCCCATGCTGATCATGTCTAGCGCTAATGGCTCGTTCCCTTCCGGTGTATTGAAAGTTGTCTGCCAAAATTTCATCACATACAAATCTCAGCAAAAGATCCAACACAGTATCATGTGGGGGTTATTCAGGAAGTTACTTTACCTTGTACCATGACAGTGGCTGTTTTTTAGCTAACATCTTTGAATCCGACCATTCCACAGATGAACTTCCAGTGATGGTGTTCAACTGCAATTTCTCACCTTGCACACCAACCTTGTAAGACCATTTCCATTTTGTCATGTCAACTGTACCCTGATTCAATCCCTTCAGTGTGACTGGACCAAGAACCCCAACGTTGTAGTTCTCAAAGTGTGCGCCAACATTCTGGTTTAACATGGGGAAAAGTCATGGCACAGCCAAATTGAGTCCAAGATCATTTCCAAAGAGGAGTGAGAAACACTAACCGCAAGACCAACTGAAGCACTCAGCAACGCGATCTTGTTAACACCAATGTTTAGCTTCACACTCTGACTGAAAGTCAACTTAGGATCGTCTTTATTGCCATAAGCGCTTCCTATGAGTTTACCATTGACAAAAACATTGACAAAATGGCCAGCTGATTGGACCGTGAGAACAGGGTCATTTCCATTCTTCAGGAATGCCTCGTTGCTTCCTATCTTGATACTGATCGCAAGAATGGAAGAAGGGAACTGTCAGCAGGATGCACAGAAAAGAAGCAGCAGAGACCATGAGCAAGTGATTGGTTATTATATACTCACTCTGTCATGTACCAAAGGTAATCCGAAGAATCTTTGGTCACGTAAAGTTGCTCCCACAATCCATTCAGTGTGGTTGTATCACTGGCGAAACCAGAAGTAACCTCATCGATGTATGAGTTCCATGTAAATCCACCCACAGACGTCATCTTCCTGTGCACTCTTGGAGCTGAAACCTGTAATTACCATCCAGACAAAAGTTTAGAACATTATTTTTGCAAGTGTTGTGAGTCAATGATGCAAAAAGTCTCACTTATCTTCCCTCACCTTTGCAGTGTTGTAAACTTCAGTCTTGCAATCAGGCAGTATGCTAATTGACCAAGCTGGGAGATCATACTGACCATTTCCAAACTTGACCTTGACTGCGTAATTCACATCATAGTTTGCCAGGAATGCGGCACAACCCCACTTTGAGCTGTATACATGAGCCTGGAGACAGTGATCACATCCAAATTGCAGCATCAACACAAAAGTAATGCAAAAACTTTAGATTTCAAGAGAAAACTAGAGTAGATTGAGGTTTTGCTTACCTCTTGATTTTTACCGAGTGATCTAACAGTGGCGTCAGCAGAAACCAGAGCAGTTTCAGATTGCTTGATTGCTTTATGCATTTGTTTCAGGTGTGAGTATTTGGGCTCATTTGTCAAACCTGATAAACATTAAACAGATAACCAAGGATCAGCCTAAGATATGGCTCTTGCCAACAAAAAGCTTAGCTGTTACCAGCTAGATGAAGCCCTACACTATCTTCTATGCATGAGTGAGGTATAAGTGGTAGTTAGAGGTTTATGAATGGCTACAACTTCATACCATATTCATCAAGAGGGGCGTCATAGTCATAGCTTGTGGCCACAAAGGGTCCACCTGCTGTTCTACCAAAGTTTGTCCCTCCATGGTACTGAGAAATTACACAACCAACATAATAACGATCAGCAACAAGAACGAAACTAAGAACAAAGAACCCATCCAAACCCTAATCTACAGTTTCAAGTTGAATAATTGTTACCATGTAGTAATTGGCATAAGAGCCACCATTCTGAATGAACCTCGCAATACCAAATGCAAGATCTTCTGCTGGTCTGTATGGGACTGGGCTTCCAAAAGCTGTGAACCTGGTGGATGGCAAATTTGCATGGCACGATCAGATATCAATCAACCCAACAGTTTGATTCTTTTTGGGACTTTCACTCGTTATCAGTGCGACTTACCAACCCGACCAGGCTTCAGTCCACATCTTAGGCTTGTATGACTTGTTTGGCCTGAAGTTCTCACAGTAAAATGCATTGCAGGTGTTTATCTGCAAAAGAATCAAATCAAACAAAAAGACGGGTACTTTTCAGTCTCCAGCAACAGAAAAGCTTCTTCAACCCGCTCCCACTTTGCCATTACAAAAGGTGGAGTCGTTTTTTCTGCCAGAATCTTCTCCATATAAAAAGAAACTTTGGACAACCCCTTAGGAAATAGAACCATCAACCAAACCACAGACTCACAAGAACCACCACAACAGAAACGCAAAACCCACAAGAAGGGGAGATTTGATAGCTCAGCTCAGGATTGAAAAGGAAAAGAGAACTGAAAGAAAGGGCTAGACAAAGAAGTGCCAATTATGGGTCACCAAACCAGACCCACCAACTGTTCGACGAAAATTCGCAAAGAGAAAAAAGTAAGCGTGTAGTTGCTGGTGAATGAAGGCAAAACACAGTTCTTAAAGCATCTATAACAGCAGCAACAGAAAAAAAGGAGGAAAGCAAAAGAAACAGTAAACTAACAACAAGCTGACAAAAAACCCCGGAAAAACTGCAAACTCGACGGAAAAGGGAACCCAGAAAGAAGTTTTTACCACAGGGTCAGGAGCATCCTCTTGCTTGCACATAATCCATGGGACTCCTGTATTGAGCGCCACCGCCATTTTACCTGCCCATTGTCCGTAGGCTTTCGCCGGCGCGCCGATATCGTACTCCACCGGGTCCAACTCGTTCTCAATCTGTCATTACCCATCAACACAATCAACCAACTGAATACCAAACAGTAAAAAACAGGAAAACCCCCATCTCCAGATTTCGTGATGGAGACTTGGGTTTTGGCAGGCTGACCGTTGATTATTCTACTGATATTAAAAGGAAGGAACTTTTTTTTTAAAAGGAAAAATTATGACCAATGAGAGAATGGGTTATAGCCAAAAAAAAGGTGCAGATAAACGCTAGTTTGTCTATACTCTATATGTTTTGCCTAACCTGGGAGAGAATAATTGGGCCTCCCTGCGGTTCAAAGAGCTTTTCTTGCTTCATCATGTTGACGATCTTCTCTGTGAACTTTTGCATTGCCGCCTTTCATTGAATTCATCGACCCGCCCATAGTACAATCCGTCAGTTTTCATGATCATTAAAAGAAAATTTGACAATCGGGGAAAAAGAAGAGCAGCCGATTACCTTGAAGGGTCCATTGTCAGTTCTGAAGGAGATTCCCGGCACATACTTGAGCCAAACAGGGAATCCTCTGTATCACACCCAAAAACGAAAAACAGAGCATTTGTAAAAAAAACAGGGGAAGGAATTTCCTTTCGGCGAAATTCGAACTGGGTTTTTGTAAAAATTACCCGAAATTCCATTCAGCACAAACGTAAGGGCCAATCCGGAGATTAACGTAGAGACCCGCTTGTTGAACCAGCTTCACGAACTTCACAAGGTCGTATCTGTCCTCGAAGTAATACTTCAAACAAAGAATTTTTTGTCAAAATAATCAGTATCAGTGTCATAAACAAAAAAAGCCATGGACAGAGGGAAGAAGGAAACCAAGAGATTACCTGTCCAGGGGAAGGCTCGTGCCCATTCCAGAAGACGTAAGTCTGAATCACATCCAATCCTCCATCCTTCGCCTTCTGTATGAGATCAGGCCACATCTGCATTCCCAAACCAGAAAGCCCGAAACTTTCAGCTCAAAGCAAGAAAAACAGAGGAAGCTATCTGATTGCAAAAATCAAAGAATGAAAGGACGGGAGATTTTCTTGCCTCGGGAGTGCTTCTGGGGTAGTGAATTGAGCCAGAGAGGAGAATCCTTCTCTTTCCATTGACGACGATGGCTTTACTGTCATAAGTAACAGCAGCTGTGACTGAAGAAACCCAAATCGTAGAAGAACAGAGAAGCACTAGCAACAGAGGCCTCAACATACTGAAACAAAAACCCCCAAATCCCTTTCCTCTCTGAATGTTTACGATTAAGCTTTCTCTGACTCTGTTTCTTTGTGTCTGGTAAGAACGGCAGTGGTGGCCTCTCCGTTGAAATAAATAATAGGGCAGGCTATAAATGCAAGCAGTAGTTTGGCAAGTTCGACTGGGAATTCATTACTATTTCCCTCTTTTAGCTCGAACTTCGATATACTGAATAAGAAAATGGGAAAGGAAGGCGAAGAAGAAGGGGATTTTTCCTGAAGAGGGGAATGCGGAAGATAGGGTAATGAGAGAACTCTGAAGAAGGGATGAAGGGAAGGGATCCACCATGTGAGCGCGTTTTATAGTTTTAATTTGAAGGAGAAGGGAGGTTAGAATGTTGGATCGTGTAGCGCCTTTTTCTCAATTGAATTGATGAGTGAAGAAAAATAGGAAGTCGGATTATGAGTGGGGTCGGCTCTTGTTGTAAGTGTTGCCTTTGTAGCAAGAAAGGAAGGTTGCTCTGTTTTTGTCTTGCCTTCGCATAATCATCATAAATTCGATTTACCTTTTTTTTTACAGGGTAGAATTTCTAGGTAGAATTACTATGTACTTAGTTTGCTGGTTTGATTTGGAAAATGAAAGATTCTTATATAAGTTTGGATTTGAAAAAGGAAGGATTTGTGATGAATTTGGTCGATGGTAGATTTGAAGGTTTTATTATTTATTTGTTGGATTCTTATTAGGGTGGTGGATGTGTATGGTTGAATCGCGGTTTAGGAATGACCTACCCGCAAATAATTTGTGGGTGAGTGTCTGAGTGATTGATGTTGGATGCATTGTGGGTCGTTCAATCTCATACCGAACTAATTTGAAGGATGATGGGTGAGTTGCGGGTCACTCGAATGACTCACTCTCAATTTTCATATGACAAAGAGTTATTTCTTTTTTATACTATCAAACGATAATCATATTTCCTAATTTTATCACAAATTGGTCATCGACTTCTCAATGCGAAAAATAAAGAATATACTTGAACTATTAAATTGATTGCTATGTTGTATAATGTTTGAAATGTCAATTACAAACAATTAACTCTATCAAAGTTGCAACAATATTTGATTTTCTCTATAATCGGTTGATGAAGTAACGAAATATTGACACATCTGCCAAAGAAGTAAAATTCATGTGTAGAGAGTCTTTGTCTTCTACAGCCTACCCAACCTAAAAAAAAATAGCGGATTACAATTATATCAACTCGTTAGTAGATGAGTGAATTAGTTTGAGGTCGAAACCCGTTCGACATGCCCAACACCCACCCTAAATTTCATCATGGATTGTTGTATTGGATTCATGGTTTTATGAGAAAATTTACCTTACAACCCTTTACCAAAATTACTTTTATTTTGTTGTCTAGGATAACAAAGTCAATTCCTCACTTACACACCTCGGTAACAAAGTCAATTCCCACTGTAATAGGTTTGTCCATAAATTCATTGGCCCCCATTAACTTGAGTTATCGAGAGATGTTCAAATATGAATTGTGTACCACTTCTTTGCATGCTCGAAATGAAAGTCAATCCATGAGATTAGAGTTAATTGTCAATATTGAGAGTCATCGAAGTTCGAACGCGAAATCTTTCGATCAAAGATTGTGATACCGTATCAAGAACAAAATGATTCCAATAAGTCGAGATTGTTGAACGATTTTCTTATATAAAATATAAATCATACGCCATTCATTCACTGCGCTTAACGATATTTAACTATCGAATTAAATAACGTCTCGTAGAGCGATCAACACACACCTAAAATGCATGCAAGTGATGCTTATCGAACCATAACCGACACAAACTCGAAACAAACGGTACTTATCGGATTATACTCGGGCAATATAGTCATACTCACACATCCTTACATGATTCTTCTTGGACAACAATTCAACCGATACCCCTTTTGTTTCTAACAAGGAAGAACTGGAAGAAGCTGTAATAATGACAGATCTAGAACATTAGGGGAGGAGTGAAATTTGATTAATTAGTTGATGCCTTTTCTGTATTCATGAACTATACGGGATTTCATTGCAATTCTTACTTTCAGAAGTTGTTCCGTAACAGGAAGAAAAACATATATACTGTTCAGAATGTCGGTTTGGTGGCATTAAAAATTACACACCACGATAGATCCCATTGCTTTCTCCTCATCTCTTTCTTTTTTCCAATATCAGCTTCAATCATGTTGAAGATTGCCTTTCTTTTTCTGCTTCACTTCATGTGTTCCTCAAACTACAAATCCCCGCCTGTAAATTTGGTGCAGACTAGCAATCTCGTGCACTCTTCAAATTCTCCTTTTTATCATGTGGATTTTTTTTTTTGTTTAAATATGTCTCATAACAACGACAACATTAATTCAATTTTCACAGCTTATTACTTTGAGGGAGAGGAAATTAAACCAGGAACCAAAGTTTTTTGTTCGAATCGTCCGTGCTCATAAATTTTGCTGAGTATTTCGTAAAGGTCTTTGGTTAAGGTTCGAATACAGAATCCTCTTGTGATATTAACTCGTGTTTTTATTGGTGTATTTGCTTTGATAGCTTGTGTTTTTATTATTGTTACCGGTCGTCATGGTACGTACTCAAACTAAGGGTGTTTTCAACATTTATTTACGCGGCTTTTTATATCCGAACGAGGTACAAAACCATGTTACTGTACACTCTAAAAAAAATGACATTCTCGACAATTTGAATGATGGATGTGTTTGTTATGTTTAGATGAAATCCTAAGCCAAAGTTGTTCAAATGTTATAACCTACCTAATTCAATCGAAACCCTGAATTCCACGGAGTAACCTAAATCATAATTCAAAACCAAACAATTGGTTCTACAACTTATTTTTTTTATATTATATAATGATGATATAGGTTTATTTTATGTCTTTTAGGTATTACTTGATGGATTCGAACATCTTACGTTCAAATCACTAGACTAACCCTTAATTCGTGATTGGTTCTACAACTTCATTATGCATGAATAATGAGTGCCTGCTGGAACCACGCAAGTACCTGTCTCTTACTCAAAATCCAATCAAAGAATAATAATTACCTTTCCCTAACAGTCATTAGCTTCGTCAAAAAGAATAAAGGGTCAATTGGGCTAACACAAAAATTAAGGAAGTCCAACACCAACGTGCAACAGACATCTATTTTGGTCCGGCCAGAGAATTAAGCCCGCCCAAGATTTCAAATCCGGCATTACAATCACTCAATCATTTTTTTTTTTTTTATAACCCAGGGAACCTCAGCCCCACGTGTCGCTTGAGCGACAGCGGGGCCTACTAAACCACTGGGGGTACCTGCATACTAACCGGGGCTTTCTGCTACCAACATCGGGGAGGCTTCGCCTCCGATACCAAGGGTGCCGCCGGGAACGCACAAGTGGCTCCACTGGGAATCGAACTCAGGACCTCCCACATCCAGAGCTCAATTGGACCAGTGTTTTCACCACTAGGCTATGTTACCTTTGGCAATCACTCAATCAATTTTCATTATGACGATTCATACTATTTCTCGAGAACAAGTTGATTCCTAATAATTTGAATTGTTGGTAGATGTTCAGTTGTGGATGATCATATACTATATTTTATTAACACACCTCCTCAAACGAAAACCACTATATTTGAGTCTGAAGTTTGCTGCACATCTCCGTATACGATGTGCTTAACAGAATAGATGGGTTTACAGGGATTCAAGCAGAAGACGTTTCAGTCACAGAAGGTTCTGATACCATGTCAAGAATCAGTTGATTGCAATAACTCGAGTTTTCGAAAGAAATCCATGTGTGACAAGCGACAGTTGTATATTAAAAATTAAAAATTTGTTTGATAACAACTGAAACCTTACAACTTGGGTAATGATGGATGATGGTTCGTATAAAGATGTTTTTGGAGTGTGTTCTTATTAGATGAGTTCGCCACGTTGGAGTTTAGCCAAAATATATCCCATTATCCATATATATCCTCAAAGTGCTGTGGCCAATGGTCCATTGTAGGGTCCAAATGCTCTTTGAATTTGATGCCCTTTCTCGTATGTTCTTTTCCTTTTTTTTTTTGGGAAAATCCTTAATCGTATTTGATTGGATTAAGCATTGATTAATCGCATTAATCAATGCTTTCATGTAAGCAATTATTTTAAAAAAAAAATCCGAACAACTAACTATGAGAAAGTTAAAATTTCATCAAAAGTGTTCGTAAAAGATATTGTTGAATAATTACATATTACTGCAAATATACATCGTTTCCTCTCAATTTCACCCAATTAAACGACCTGTAAGAATCATCGAAATTCGCGAGAAGTGCATGTGCGTTATGTAGGTATAGAGGATGCATGTGTTTGTAATTCCATATTAGCAAAGGTGATAAGGACAATCATATGCATGGTCGATATTCCATGAGAGGGATGGAAATGGATGGGATGATGGTGCAAGCAAAACCCAATAAGTAGATTAGATCAACCCAATATTCTTCATGTTGTCCCTTGGAAGCAAAGGGATAAAGAATGGAAAGATTCACAAGTTTAGTCGTCCCTTGTTTGATTACGGTTTTGTACCTGGTTAATACAGACGTAAAATACGGAGAGAAAATATTTATGTGAATAGGTGTATTTACAAAGAAAGTAACTAGCGTTGAGATTACCTTATACTAGTACTAATTCTAGACATCAAATACCATACTTTGCATGATTGCTTGGAGCACCCCATGAAACTTCAATGTGTAAAAGAAGAGAGATTGATTGAGATTGGGATTAAAGATAACTATGAGAAATTACACGTATGAAGTTAGATTGCTCCAACGTTGTAATCAACCAAATGTTTGACCCCATTAATCCCACTGATGTAATATAATCAAATATCAATATAATTAATTATATGAAAGAATGCTAAATCTGCATGCATGATTTGGTTGCTGCTGGAAGCTTTCTGTAAAGGATGTATCATAATTATTGAATTAAAAATAAGAAACATAAGGCCATAACCAAATTGATAGGGACAATGACGTGAAAATCAGGTTATAGGCTAATTCACGAATCAGCAATTATTAATTCTTCTTGATTAAGTAATTAATTGTTGTTCAATTATCAGCTACGCTCAACCGCGTCGAGCTTATAATAGTTTTTTCTTCTTCTTCATAATGGTACAAGCTTATTTTATAGTTGGGTGATTCTCAAGATATTCGAATATGGAATCTACGGGTTCACTACGAGTGATATTATCACTAAATCAAGTTCTTGTTCACAAATACACACGTAATTGTTATCAAGGTCTCGTGGGCATGCATACTAATTACCGAATTCGTGGAACGTTTCATACCAAGGACATAGCTAACTTTTGCTTCGGAGGGACCTCGAAATCTCCGAATTTTTTTGAAATCACGTATGAATATCCA